AGCCTTTAACTAATATATTTTTATTATAAATGTGTACAGATGATAAGGAAACAATAATTGTGTCTCCTTCGTGCTACAATTTGCACATTTGTATAAAGCAAAGTGTGATTTCCATATTTACGAAAAATGATACTCTTTGTAATAGTGACGAAAGTAATAATCCTCTTGTTTATTGGCGCATCATTGAAAAATATTAAAAAAGATTTGAGTGAAATGGACGAAGCGATCATTATGAAATGATTTTGTAATAATATTTGTTTTCATTATCGTATAGTAATAGAATTCTGAATTGCGAGTATTAAAAATTTTGAAATCTAGCTGTTTGTGATAACAGGAAGGTATCCAAGTGGCGAGCAGTGTGGCTGTTTATAATTAAAACTTTCTATTCGTTTTCTTCCTTTATAAAGTTTTTAAATCACTTTTCTTTATTTTCATTCGTTTAGGAACTTAATTAGTTCAATGCCACATTCCTTATGAGCAAGTTAGTGCAATATGAGCGTTGCATGTATATTTTAAACTGTGTGTGATGAAAATACTCAAAATTTATCTGTATTGCGTTTTTAGGGAAATTTTTGTATGATATTATATTCTACGAGGAAATGTCTTATCGTTTAAAATAATAATTGTAATTTTGTCAGTATTATAAATAAGACAATCGTGACAAGGTTACGTTGATAGCTCAGCATAACGAGAAAAAGGAAAAAATTTTGTACGACTACATCTGTTCGTCGCTATTAGTAATTAGAAATTTATTAAAATTCAAGTAAAATACATGACTTCTTGAATTGTAGATATAAATGATTTCCAGCAGGCATTTTTTTACTCATATGCATTGATTCCTTTTTATATACAATTTATGTAGTCTGTTATACGTAATATCGTAATATTGAAAGTAAATTTTAATTACAAAATTATTTATACTACATGCTAATAAGACAAGTAAATTCTGGTAAAGAAAAGTCATTTCAAGTTTATGTTGAATCAATTATCAATTAACATATAATACGTCAAAATAATTTTTGTATAAAGAACAATACCACCCATGCATAATCAATATAATTTACTGACAAAGAAAAATGCTGTAGATCATGGCTGATATGTTTTGTCGAATAAGACGAGGCCAAAGAGTATTTGATTTGCATCTGGAATAATTTCATTAAACAATTAAATGTCATATAGTGCAAATAATTTACTTTTTTGTCCATAATTTAGTATATTGTGTGAAAAGCATTTTTTTATTTTCTTATAATTACAAATATATATATATATATATATATATATATATATATATATATATATAATAATAATAATATAATACTTAAAACTAGAATATTTGTTTATCGAACTTATTTGCACTATAAATTATTTATTTATTTTTTGGTTATTTTATACGCTTCATGAGATACAAAAATAATTTAAAAACGAAGATGTAAATTGAAAAATAATTATAGTTGAACTAGGAATTCATCTTGTATATGACCGTATATTGACTCAAACAATAGTAGAATATAGTAAATGATAATAATAGTAATAGTAATAATAATATAATAATATATTTGTTAATATATGGACATTATTTACAACGTATATTTGCACATGTAATTTATTTTACTTTCTCTCTCTCTCTCTCTCTCTCTCTCTCTCTCTCTGTATATATACACATCATTTATACATACATTCATAAGAGAGCATTGTTCTTTCGAATTTGTTTGAAAAAATTTTAAAGCAAAAACCATATAGAGGAGAGCGCACTACTTCTTTGACAAAAAGCAAAAAGTAAGCAACAAGTTTAGAATTAGGCAGATTCTTGTGCCAATAGAAAAACGTGCACACGCGTTTCATCAATGAGGAGTGTTAAGGAATAATCTCACAATTTAAAAAGTTAAACGCGGCACAAAGGGCCGAGATTACTCGATTAACAATTGTACATATATAAAAATAGTATTACGAGTATGGTACATTTGTTTAAGCAAATGAATACTTTTTTTTTTTTACACAAGTTCGTTTGCTAATCTAATGTTTAATAAGCAACTCTGATTGAGTTTGTATCTAGATTTGCGATGAACAAAATAAAGCGTTATTTAATGTAAAATTTGTTGTATCCTTTTATATTCTCATCCTAGTTGATTTTCCGTCATTACCCATATTTCGTATTTCTCATTCCATATCCTATTTAATCATAAATACTTATCGAAATATGTCGAATGGCAATTTTAATCTCACAACAAAATCAATTTCAATTTAAGAATAAGTCGAATTGAAGGCCAATATAATGACAAATATCATTTAATTGTTGGATTTGTTAGTTGCTCGATTGTACTCAATAATGAATTTTAAGAATTGAATTTCACTTAACGTCTCCCTATCGTTCATTCATTTAATAAGTTAAGTATAAAATTTTCTCCATTAAATTAATAGAATATTTTTAATACATCGAGCATGTGCTTTGTTTTGTCATTTACTATTTGAAATTCACAAAAAACGAAAACGTTATTATGATAATTATTAATGAGAAAGTATTTTTATATCCAAGAAAATTACTTTCCGTTACCCATAAGTAAAATACATGTAGAATAATCCTTAACAAGTTTAATGATCCAATACATTTTATCGAGTGAAATAAACACGATAAGCAAAATACATTTTAATGAAATAATCGTATAAAATTGCAATATTTGAATGTTTTTCACATAACTCAGACCAAATGATAATGATAATAACGTAACATAATAAGTTACATTTTGAAATACATTTCTATACTTTTAATGCTAAACTCATTTAAATTAAAAAACTATCTTGCTTAAACAAAAAAGAAAAAGAAAAAAAACAAAATACTTTATGAATTTTACAATTATTATGTACCATAAAATAAAAATTAAACTGTCAACGTAATTTTCTTTTTATAAAAAAGCTTAGAAGTTTAAAACTTTTATGTAAAACTTACGTTCGATACGATTTAAGAGAATAAAAAAAGCTTATTGCTTAGATACAAATAATAATTCCGATAAAAATAAATGAAATACGTACGACAACTTTCATTTCTTATATAAAATCCCGCTTAATAAAGACATAAAATGATTTCATTAAAATCTCCGAAGAAACGTCGAAAATAATACGAGAATGATTAATGCTAGAAAGATTAATTGGACAAAATGCAAATTTGAAGTAAATTTGTAGAGAAAAATTAAATATTAAATCACGTCACACGCTCAATATATTTAATCCAATTTAAAACAATGAAAACGTTGAGTTTTAAAGAAATAAAATTCCATCGGTAAAAATACGCTAAATCCCATAGAAAGGCATCGAATGCGTGAATAAATAAATAAATAAATAAATAAAAACATATTAACTTGATAACATTTTCTTCATTCGTACTGCTGGGAAAATAAAATAATTTTTAATTGTGAATTTTAGTCCATGATAGAATTTTATAGTGTTGGTAAACTTTCATTGTAGATTAAAATTTTTTTTTAAAATAAGCTGCATAAATATTGCCATCCATAGTATTATATTTTTCACATAAGACATAGCAGCACACCATATTTGACAATAGTTATTTCCAATATTTAGCTGTGTTACACAACTTTTTGTATCGTAAAATATGTGAATGTGGTGTGTGTGTGTGTGTGTGTGTGTGTGTGATATTAATATTCGATATTCTTATGCATTTTTTATAACTACACCAAATGATAATAATAGTGATAATAATAATGATAGTAACAATTATACATATATTATATTCATGGGTATGACAATTATATCTATTTTATTAAAAAATTAATATAATTCTATTTGGTATATAAACTAGTAAATATTATTTATTACTATTTTATAATAAAATAACTTATTTAATTATGAAACTGTAGACCGTTGATTTACCCTATACGATCATTAGTAAATAGTAAATGTTTATTTTAAATATTGAGTATAAGAAATTGATAACAAACTATGCTTTTTATATTAAAGTTGAAAATAGTTTTTTAATTTTAAGCGAGTACAGTTACATTTTAGTTTATATATTTACAGGATGATATCATTAAATTCATATAAAGAATAAAGCTCTTATAATACAGTACAATAATAAACTTTAAAATAACCATTAATAAATATAAATTACAATCTTTACTGCGTATAAATATTATATTAATAAGAATTAATATACATAATAGTATTTGGTAAAGATTTTTACAAACATTTGAAACAGCCTTTTAATATAAATATTTAATAATATTTTTATGAGAAATTCAAATAAAACTAGACCTAAGCCCTATTGCTGAACATTATGTTGTTGTACCAAATAAATAAAATATATAAATTATGATTATATGGAATACGTTGAACATTTTGTTTAAATAAAATTTATAATATTCTACAGACATTATTAAAATTGATGCAATAGGTATTGAAATCGACAGTTTCAATTGAATTTATTAGGATTTAGTTACAACAATGTTTAGGAAATATTTTTTTTTTTTTTAAGATTTTTAGTGCGTTAATTTATCGAATAAGATTTGCCTAATGTTTTATTTTTTGTTTCTTTTTCTTTTTCTTTTCATTTTTAATGAAATACTTCAAAATTTGTATAATTTTGCTTTAGAATAGTTATACAATTATTTAAATAGTCAATGAGATTAAGCATATTTACACAAAAACTCTATTTTGCAGTAATTATCATATTATTACTATTATACAATAATTTTTTGTTCTTATTTTTTCATCAATTACATTTTTAATGTATTTTTCATGAAATAACGAATTTCCCTCACAAATTACTCTTGCAATCTCAGTTGAGTCACTCTGAATAAGTATCTATTAAACATTTAATAAACATACATATCTATTAAAAAAATCAATATAAAAGTTAAATAAACAGATTTGTAAATTAATATATTTATTTTGCGAAGAATAGGAGGAGAATTCTTTTAAAAAATCTGACTGTCGCCTTATTAAACAAAAAAAAAAAAAAAAAAAAAAAAAAACAAAAACAAGTTACAAAAAAACAAAAATCAGTTTAACATTTATTATCCTTCCATGCATTAAAAGGCATTCGGCATTGCAAGATTTGCGCAATGTGCATAGCACATATTTTTGCCGGTAAGTCGTTTGGAGAAATTCTCATAAATGGCCATTTTCATTGACTTTTTTCACAAATAAGATTGATTATGCGTCGTCTCTCGTCAATCTAACTTAAGACTCTCCATATGATTCGCGAGTACTTCCTGCGTTGATTCTTGATATACTTTGTTCATCGTCTCGTACGTGTGGTCAATCAGCTTCGACAGATTTTCCTTAGTCATGCCTTTTGTCGATATAGCTGGTAATATTGTGATGTAACTTGTACCTGAGAAAGCGAAATACATATAGTGAAGGACATAGAGCATAGTCCTTTTCGTTCTTATTAATTTAGCTCTTGTAATTAAGTCAAACTCTGATTTTATTAAAAAAAAAAAAAAAAAAAAAAGTTACGCGCTCGTCACGGTCAAAACTTGTTTAATGACGATCTTTTATTATTTAATAATGTAATGGCTTACCGGAATCAAACTTTTTCAGTTTGTCATTTATAAAATAATATCTGGAAACGACAACCGGTTGAATAGGCGTTTGCGAGTCAATGGCTAAGTGAAATCCGCCTTTCTTAAAAGGTAATAAGCTCGAGCCTGTGTGACGTTTTCCCTCAGGATACATAAGAACTTTTGCCTGTTTTAAAAATAAAAAAAAAAAAAATAAATAAAAAAACAAAAAAAAAAAGCACCATTTCAATGGTTTAAATGTCGAAGTTCACGATTAGTATCTCATCATCGGCAACTTGTTGTTCGAGCTAATGACTATATTTCAATTTAATTTATTCATCACAAATATTACAACAAGCTCGTATCATATGCAATTTTATAATTATTATTAATTACTAATATTAAGAGGTGTATCCCATTATTTATCATTCTTAATTCGACTTCCATGGCACGACATGTTATAATTATTTAATTGTTAGCGCATGCGTTATCGAGTTGCTTTCACAAATTCTTAATCTTTTCACGAAATGACAATCTAATATCTTACATTGCATAAAACATGATTTAATATTGCTTCGAAACATCAACATTCGCTATAAAAATATTTACCTGTCGCTGCTGAATAATCGTAGCAGTCGAATTGACAGTCCGTTGGGCCTCTTCTTTTTTCACTCTATCGATAAAAATTGTTCCCCAAAGCCAACTCGCCAAGCCGAATGTACCGAAATAAAGAACTTGCTTCTTAGAGATGACTGTGCATTTTTGGAGTACAGGCCAAAGTTCGGCTAAGACTGAAATAATAAAAGAATAACATTAATGGCAATTAGGAATATTAATGTTGGATTACAATTTTAATTGTTTTTTTTTTTTTTCGATTTCTTCTTTTATTTTAGCACTTATGCAAGTGTTGCTTAAGGCAAATATAAATATTAAATATATGTTTAAATAAATAAAAAAAAAAATTTTATATATATATATATTATTTTTATGTATATTATGTATTGATGTGTTTACTCATCTACATTGAAATAATCATTGAATAAAAATTATAACTTGTAAGCTTAAGATAATCGAAGTAAATTTCTTTCATCATACTTTGGTTGATAAATACACATTAATTATTAAATATTTAATTATGCATTTATGATCGACGAAAAATAACGGATATTTAAACAGACATTAAAATTCTCATTTATGATTATTATATTAGTACAGACCATTTTTAAAAATTTACCTTTTGAAATAATTTACTAGTACGATCTATTGGATAAAATTAATAATATGCTATACAAACAAATAAAAACTATTTTATAATGAGAATATAGTAGAGAATATAGTGAGCCTTAAAAATATGAATTAAGCTTCTATGTTATTTTATTATATTAACATTAAAAAATTAGAGATTTTACAAATAATGATTCTGTATATACTACATATATATAATATTTTTACATTATTTTTTATAAGCAACGCGGAAGTTATATATTAAGTTCTTCTTTCTTTTTTTTTTCTTCTTCTTCTTCTTCTTCTTTTTTTTTTCTTTTTTTTTTTCTTATATTATTTATTAAAATATTAATTTCATAAAAATTCAGTTAAACAATTTATGCATATCAATCATTTAATGTACCTTATGCAATTCAAAATACTTTAATAATATTTTCAAAATTCCGATGTAATAATACAATTCAAAATTATTAGATGCCTATTATTTTAATGGATAACATTCTTACCACAGAGATCTAAATTACTTTGATGATTGATTAATACAATTGCTCCGGAATCATTAACTATATTTTCTTTCCCTCGAATTTGATAATTAATTCCGATTAATTTCGCAATTTGTCTTGCACCCCAGGCTGGTATTCTATGTGATAAAGTAATAATAATTGCAATTATAAGAGGCAAAAGAATATAAAGTATATATAATACAAAAAAAAATTTTATGTTAAAAATTACATTGTAATAATCACTTTTCAGACTGATATTTATGTAAATAGTACGAGTGAAAGTATCACGTCGAATATAATCTTTAAATAGATTTTTTTCTTAAACGTTATGTTTCATTCGTTTCGTTTATTAAATTAAACTTAAAATATTATTATTTGCAATTGTTATATAAAATATTACGATTTCAAGTGGATTATTCCAGTTATTTCTAATGATAAGAATAAGAAAGTTTATCCGAATCGCTCGTTATTTTAATAATAATCTATACGTACTCGACTGAATATGAATTCTAATCTCCAAGCGCATAAGATTTTATCAATCTATCACTAAGATTATATCAACAAATGTATAAACTATCACGTAATATAACAATTTATAAAAGTAATTAGAATACAATGTCGTACAAGCCAGTTTTACATAAAAATCCTCTCAACGTACATTATCGATTGATAAAATTTATCTTGTTACACAAAATTCACTTTAGCATTTTTAAATTTATATATAATTTTGTATTTACAATATAAAATCTTGCATGTATGTTATGTATAATGTATAATGAGAAAATGAAGTAACGTATTACAAAAAAAAAAAAAAAAAAAGTAATAATGTGAAGACGCCGTAGTATAAGTCAACCGTCAGCTTCATACTCGTCTTCGTCTCAGCAATTCATTGACATCCGACACAAATGTACATTTTAAACATTAGTCAGCCAATTACGTTACCAAAATACGTAACAAAAACCGTTCATTTCAACAAAATACTGGAGAGAAAATTTAATTTTTTTAACCTCCCCTCCCTCAACCCATCCCATCTCATAAAATGGGTATTTACAATAAGTATATCGTATGTGCATTATTTATTAGTAAGTACTTTTCATTATTTGAATTATCATTAATTAATTATATATGTTAAACAATATCTGCGCACACAATTGAATAAACTTCATTACATATACAACATAATATATCGATTTATCAAAACACTCGAGATTAATAAAATTATATTTTACTTTAGATTAAAAATTTATAACAATTTAATTAAAAGAGAATGAAAAAATCATTTGCGTTTTATAAAAAAAAAAAAAAAAAAACAGTTCCACGTAATGTAATCTTATGAATTATGATTGCGAATGAAATGTTTAAGTAATAGTAACTAGGACGCACAAAGCTATTGTAAACAATTACATGTTAAATATAATATATATTTTAAAATATTACATGCTAAACGCGTTATAAGCATTGTTACAAATCAAATTTCGAATTTTCTATATTCGAATTAAGATTATATATTAAAAATTTCATTTTAATTATAGATTTGTAAAAATAAGAACAAAAAACACATTAACTGTAATGGAACATGTTTCATAAATTTAAATAAAACTTACAAAGCGTTCTGCCAATTCCTGATTCTGAAGAACATTAATGGAATTGGTAAAGTAGCGCATATTGCACTAGAAAATATGAAAACAAAGTGTTTGGTAAAATATCTAATTTCTTCGCTTATTGCACATATTACTAGAGAGAGAACAAAAGAAGCTACACCCATGCCACTACGTGATATTCCAAGCGTCCTGAAAAATTAAAAACAAAACCAACGATATGATCATTTTTTACGAAAATGACGTAAATTAATACACATATACATATATATATATATATATATATATATATATATACACATATTCTTTTAAATATTAAAAATTTTTTTTCTAAGTATTTTATGATGAGTTAATATTAAAAATATCCTACAATGTATATGTTTCCAAACTACAATAGTTCAATCTATTGTAATAAAATTTTTATTTACATAAAGCAAACAATATATTATAAGGAAAGAAATGTAAAGTGTAATTTTGTGAAAGAAAAAAAAGAGTATTTTTTAACATATTTCAATTATAATACGTAAAGGAGTAATAAATAGTATACGAAATAATGGAAACGTAGAATTTATTTGATTAAAGGTATTAAAGGAAAATAAAATAATAAAGAAGAGCAAATAAAAAACATGAAATTTTACTGATCATTAGAGGATAAGTTAATTAAACAAATAAAGAAATTTTATAATACGAAAATATATAATGTCTTTATTATATGTATTAATTGTCAAAGATGAATATATCGAAATTTAGTCAAATATACTAACCCTGAAAAATTTATAACACGTTTCTAAAATAGCAAATTCTCTCTCTCTCTATCTCTCTCTCTCTCTCTCTCTCTCTCTCTCTGTATATTCTATTTCTTCAATTTCTTGAAATGTTCAAAATTATGCCTCTATTACGTATTACCGCATCTTATAGCGTAAAGGAATCGAAGAAACCGTATAGAAGGGAGTAATTATAATTAGCAGGATTGGACAATTCAAGTAATTGAATAATACTCTGCTAATAATCAATTTTTTCGTGATTAAACTATGACGTATACATGATTTATAGTTGTTTTTTTTTTTTATTTTTAGGGTAATCGGTGTCGTTATGATTTAACAACATTAGATCTATTACGATATATTCTAATTTTACTATATTAATCTATAATTTATTCTCACTTTCGAATTCTCTCCTTAGAAGGATAAGCTAAAAAGATTTGCTGATTGGGATCAAATGAATGCTAAATTGCTAGATGAATGGTAAATTAATGCAGAATGGTCAATGCTAACTTAGTAAATAGAAGTATCGACAATATTGTTTAAGTTCACTGAACATTATCCGTAACTTTTTATCTTGAAAATCGCAGACAATCCTGTATAGTAAAATGAAATTTGCTTTCTAACATATTCAGAGATGGATTCATCCTAAGCTGAATTCCACGATTTAATCAACTTATAGATGCTACTACTACTCATCGACTAAATTCAGATTGACTATTAAGAAATATATTTTATCTGTAGCTAAAAAAATCATTACTATTGGCATTTAATTTTAAAAGTTTATTTAAAATTATAAGAAGAAATTTAATCAAGATAACACCTTGTTATATATAAAATTATTTTATATTTATAAAACCGAGTTTTTTTCGACCTTTTCGATATATAAATATTGTAGTTATAATATTATAGATTATCGATTATATTATAGATTATTTAAATATTAAAAATTAGTCGACTATTAAATAGATAAGATAGATGAAACAATTATTGTGTGCTTTTACTACAATATTTCTTAGAATATTCATGGGAATAAAAATTAATAGTTTATTTAACATTTAAGCATATTTTTTTAATCCACGGAAAAGTGAAAATAATCATTATTTCATCACCGTTATGATTTTTTTTTCTTTTTTTTTTTTTCAATAGTTAGAATAATGCTTATAAATGCCTTTAGATTTGAAGTAAAAATTAATAGAATTAATAATACATTAAAGATGTTAAGTAAATATATAATAGAATAAAAAAATCAAGTTCTATCGACCTTTTATTATAGAATTACATTTTTCATTTTTGTAAAGAATATTTATACCATTATAAAATAATGATTCCCTCTGAATGATTAATTAATTTGTTAAATTAAAATTATCCCATTATTTCTCAGCTACGTAAACATTTTAAATAAAGAATTATATTATGTTGCAATGAGAATTATGAATTGCTAATATAAATATGAAAGTTATAAATACAATAGATATTGATAAATTAGCAATATAGATAAATAATATACTGTGTATTTAAAATTAATTATATATAAAGTATTGTAATTGTTAAACAGTGGATGTATTAGCAACGCTAAACCGAAATGTTGTCGATACATACGAAGAATGTCATATAAAATCATATTGTGTCAAACTTCTTAATGCCCCAAATAACTTTAATCTATCAATAAATATAATGTAACTTTTGCCATTCTGTTTTCTACAAACTGTGATAATTATGATAATTGAGACACATACAATTACTTATGATTAATTTAACATAATAGTATTCAGTAACATTAGTAAATTTTGAAATTTCAAATATTTTAATATTATTTTAGCTTAGATTATACTCAATTTGTATTAAATTACTAACATTATTGAAATAATAAGTAAAGGTAAAGAGCGTTATTATATATTAAAAATAATTATGTATAAAAATGTAATAATTATTAAAAGTCTAAATTTAAGATTTTTTAAATTGATAAATACTGCGTATATTATATATATATATATATATATATATAACATTGACATAATAAATTATAATAAAATAGTTTTCATTTGTATATTGTAAATTTTTTAAAAATATTATCGAAAATATTATCTTTTTATAATCAATTTTAATACTGTAGAAAATCTATTAGATATGAAAAATATTTATTTCCTTTATAAAACTACGAGTATACGTTTAGTTTAAAAAAGTATTTAGAAAGTATTAAAACAATATATTTTTAGTTATATTATATATTATATTTGGTCCAAGTGTATATGTATATATATTTTTAATAATTACATAATTCTTAAACAATGTTCGTTAATTTATAGGTTTTCATGAACGTTAATTTTATAAAAAATTATATAATATAAATTTAAGCGTAAAATTTTAATATAATATGAGATAAAAATAAAACTGAATTAAAACTGAATGGGCTTAGTATTATTATCTTTTTTCTAAATTCATAAATAACTTGACAAATATAAAAAGTAAATATTTAGTGTTTGTATAAACTTTCCCGCGGATTGTGATTTCATAAAAATTATTTTATTCTCAATTGGCTTACGTATGTTAACACATTTATATAAATTTCAGTGCAACAATATACAAAAGTTACCAAAACATAAACATACAGAAATATCAGCTTATACAAAAAGTAAATAGTCTAACTGCAGTAATCGATAATTTTCTCGTGGGGAAAATTGTATAAGTAGTGGTATGTTAAAAAATTAATGGAATTAATTTTATTATTAGAAAAATATTGGATTCGGAAATAGCAAATATAATTCATAGTTAAATAAATTGTTTTGTGAGCAGAGATTTTTTAAATTAAGAATGAGTATTGGCTATGATTGGATTAAAATTACAAATTTAGCTCTTCGTATCGAACGTTGAGCATTTTTTATTTTTCACGTTTATTGAAATAGATTTGTCTACTGTATTGCTTTAATGAAATTTACAAAATTATAACAGTTGAAGCTAAAGGAAAATGTTTGGAATTATAAAAGCTACCTAACTATTTATTGTATCAACCTAGAAATAAAATTATTTTCATGAGTTACTTTTAAAGCATTTGAAAGAATTATTTTCAAGTTACTTTGTTTATTTTTTATTTTGCAATAAAATCTTTATAATTCTTGTAACGGTAAAAGACTAAATTTTATTAGGTAATTTATTTCACTATTGGTTCGTTTTAGAAATTGAGAAATGTTTTTCATAACGATTAATCAACTTTACTCGATATCATGTAAAGAAGCAATCTTCATAAAATGTAGAATTATCATATTTATTACTATAATTTTATACAAGAAATTATAAATATTTCATAATATTGTTAAAAATATTGTTCAAATTATTTGTTATGCAGACTATAATAAGAAATTTTTAATATTCATACCGTTATTACCATAATCATTATTTATAACTGCCCGTTTATAGTTAACCTAATGTTTTTATGATAATCCATTATGTCTATGGCGATTGATGAAAATAAAACAATAAAATTATTAAATATTCATTGAAAAAAATGAAATTATATATCTTTTTTTAATTCAATAATTACACGTTGTTGTGCTCAAAATTGATTAAATGAATGCTACTATTGGAATAAGAAAATGGAACACCTGGATTAAATATTAAATATTAAAAATTAATAAAGCGTTGTGTTAATGATTTATTGTTGCAAAAACAAAACTATATTACATAGTGACGTTTGGACAATAATTTGGATGGATAATAATATCAAATCTAAGTTCTAGGATCGATATTGCGATTAATAAATAAATCAGGTCCAAAAAATAGTAAAGTAAAGTTATTGTTTGGATAGGTAAAATTAGATATTTCATAAAACATGGATAATATTTTAATGCTCGTAATGAAAAATTTACACGAAGTATTGTATTGAATTTGAATAAAATATATATGAAAATCATGGGAATTTGTCAAAAACAAAAATATTTCATAAATCATTTTTAAATTTTTCTGTAATAAGAAATAAGAAATAAGTCAAGGTAGGTATTTTTTCAATTAAGGCTAAAATTCAATTATAATAATATGCTTTTGTGTATCTCAGTAATCATGATAATATCGTTGTAATTTCACAATTTCAAAGCTATATTGTTCATTTGTATAATAGTGCATAAAAATAATTGAAAATTTTTATACCATTAGACATTATAGAATACATATTTAATTTGGAGCTTTTACGAGAAAAAACAATCATATATTTCTATTTATTGTATTACATTTATATGCATTTGCATTATTCCATAATTTATATAAAGTAAGAATTATTCTGCTTTTCTATTACGCTTTAATCTATTTAATAAAATTTATAAGTGCAAGTATACAATATAAATGCAAGTGCTGCAGTTTATAACACGACATTGTAGTTGATCGACTAGCTTGATTTATTAATTTTTATATATTTCTACATTTTCATATGAAGCTAACGATCTCTTCATCGTT